TTTTCCTTCAATCATCCGGCAAGCAAAACCTTAACTGTAACATAAATGCAGTGTTTTTCTGGTTACACCTTGTCACAGTCTCTTCACAACAGTGCCACAGTCTCTACCCACCACTGTTACCAGGGTACCTTACAGTGTAGAAAGCTTTAAGAATGGCCTCATAGCTCTTGATGACTTGCAGATTAATGTGTCTGCAGTTAAGTTAGCTGGAGACCAACACAATGGCTAGAAAAGCCAATTTTCAAGGATTCCGATGCCTCAGATATGTTGTTAAGATGGGCCAATCCTTGAGGAAAAACCCCATCATGTTTGGAAAGTTGGAGGGTCAGAGAAAGAAGGACTCTCAATGAGATGGATTGAACCCATTTATTTTAACAATGGGCCCAAGTATAGTGGAGACAATGAGGATGGCACAGGACAGGGCAGGGTTCGGATCTGTTGTTCATAGGGTTGATATGAGTTATTGTTGACTCTTTAGCGAATAATAACTTTAACAAGGTGGCTTCCTGGTAAGGAGTTGTGCTGCCAACCCAAAGACATGCAGTTCAAATCTACCAACTGCTCCACAAGAGACAGATGAGCAGTTTCCTCCCATGAGATTTACTGCTTCTAAAATCCTGCTGGAGGGTTCACAAGGTCATCTCTGAATTGAGTCCGACTTGATGGTACATAATTACTGCAACAACACGTACTTTAGCAAACTGAAAACCTTATTCACATATGTTGTTTTCACTGGTGCATTGCAGTTGACAGGGATTTCTTTGAGAACATTTTCAAAGTGATTTTTATAAAGCTTGAAAATGAATTCTCACAGCTTTTGTTTATTTATATTTCTCCTCTGTGCAACAAGAAGACATGAGACAGAAAACAAGTACTCCTGATATCTAAGAATTGTTCTGACAGTGAGGCCTCAGTGTTGTTAGAAAGTGACCTGACATGCAAGCTGGGCCATATTTTCCCTGGTTGTCCATAAATAACCACAGAACAGTCACATCAGACAGTGTCACCCTGTGACCAGGAAGTTAAACACTACAGGATACTTCCTAGTTTTCTCTATGCAGAGGCAACAAGGTCACTTTGTAAACCATAAAATACTAAACATCCTTGTCTCTTAGTTCATGCGAGGACTGGGTTGCTTTAAGAATGAAGTCATCAGTTACTGGTGGGCCTTATTTATCATTTGTGGATTTGGCTTCACTCAAGTCTGGTTTCCTTCTAGATTAAGATTTAGTAAAATCCAAGTCATTATTTAACTGGTCCTGCTACTTGTTACCATTTAATCAATAGCAAATTACTATTCTGTCCCCATGGAGTGTTCATTCTCCAAGTAACCAAAGCCCAAATCCTTCTTCCCTGTTGTTTTTATATGTCATCAAGTTGAGTATGACTCAAATTTTCCTAGTCAATTCTAATACCTGAAACACTCTATGCTTATCTCTACTGTATGTTCTCACCCAATATTAAAAACAAACCTACTTTTTTCATGGTGTTCCCCTTGGTGGTTTTTGGCTCAAGTGAATGGAGAGAATTCTAAGAGATTTATACATGCTTTAATAATTTAATCTTGACAAAACCCTTACTTGGTATACATGTATTAGTCATCATCTGTTCCTTTTTGTACTATGGTAACTTGGTGTTTTGTAACCTGGTGTTCCTGTGATGCTTCAAGATAAGCCTCAGGGATATACAATATCAGCAGACTCCCCTGTGGTGGACATGTTCTGTTGAAGCTTCTTGACGGAGGTAAACTAGAAAGAAAGGTCAGAGATGAAGATCTACTTCTAAACAACAGTCAATAAAAAGCCTTATGGATCATAACAGAACATGGTCAGACTCTGTTAGGCATCAGGAGAGATCTAGAGGATATTAATAGTTAGTGATGTAGAGGCCAGTGAGGAGGACGAGAAACCCTTAGTGAGATGGTTTGACACAAAAATGAACTGGAAAATGCTGTCTTAGTTATCTCGTGTTGCTTTAGTAGAAGTACCACAAGTGAGTGGTTTTAACAAATAAAAATTTGCTTTCTCATAGTTTTTCTCTCTAAGCCTTTGAGTCTGAACCCCATAATAGTTGACTCCACATCAGGTTTCTGAGGTGGCAAATTGCACTAGAGGAGACTGCCCACGTTTATCCTGCAGAGAGGCTATTAGACTAGGATCACCAGAGAGGTGTGGTCATTAGATTCGCAACACAACTCCCCACGCACCAGGCCACCAGACCTCCCTAGAAACCTGAATTCAGATGCCAGTTCTAGGGAAAGGAATTTTTTTTTTTCTCTGTGGGCTCTGAAGGAAAGTCCTTGTCTCTTTGAGCTTTTGCTCCTGTGTGATCTCTCTTCCCACATCTCTACTTGTTGTTTAATCTCTATTATGTCTCAAGAGATGAGCTCAAGGCACACTAACGTAACACAAAGAAAATTCATTCCAAAATGAGATTATAATGACAGGTACACAGGTTAGGATTTTTAACACATACTTTTGGGGAATACCATCCAATCCACACCATACGCCATTGATTTTGAGGTAATATAGGTCTAGACAATATCTTTTTCTGCTGTACATAGGTTTCCAACACTGAGTCAAATACTGTATTTTGTACACCTAAATGAACTCTAGTGATGTAGTTGGTGAGGAGCTGTAATGCTTATCCAAAGGTGGCACTTCTCTGGCAATTTGAACACATGAATAGCTTCCTGAGAGAAAGATACACAATCTCCTTATGATGACTTAGAGCATACCAGAGATAATAATGACAACAAAGGACAGGACAGGGTTCACATCTGTTGCTCATTGGGTCGCTAAGAATTGTACTTGACCTGATGACACTTAACAACAACAGCATACCTACTCAATCTATGCTGAACCAATCATCTGAGAAGCTGGATTTTATTTACATTGAAGAAGGTGGCATCAAGATTGTAGGAAGACTCATCCACAACCTGTGATCTGCAGATGACACAAACTTTGATTGCTGAAAGTGGGCAGGACTTGAGGCGCTTGCTGCAGAAGATCAAGAACTATAGCCCTCAAGATGGATTAGACCTCAAAGTCAAGAAAACAAAAATTCTCACTACTAGGCCAATAGGCAACATCATGATAGATGGAGAAAAGATTGAAATTATCAACAAGTTCATCTTACTTGGATCCACAACCAATACCCTTTGTACCAGAGGTCTGCTGTCAGGGACCTCTCAATAGTTCTCAGCAGGAATGATGGCAATTTAAGGACAAAGGTGTGCCTGATTCTAGCCATGGTTTTTCCAATTATCTGCTATAAATCTGAGAGCTGCTATTGTTGATTGCCTTCAAGTCAAGCATGACTCATAGAGACTCTACGAACAAAAGGCCCCTCTACAACTATTGACATTTATCATAGTTCGTAGAGTTTCTGGAGGCATCTTGTTTAGGAAGTGGATGCCTTTGAGTTGTGCTGGAGAAGATTACTGAATATCCAATGGACTAAATAAATAGATATGTCTTGGAGAATGTGCAACCAGACTGTCCCTTGGATGCAAGGAGGGTAACACTTTGTTTCAGGTATTTTGGGCATGCTGTTAGGTAAGGCTGGTTATTCCTTCGAGGGAGAAATCAAGCTTGGAAAGGTAGAGGGTCAGTAAAAGAGAGTAAAACCCTTAGTGAGACAGATTGGTATAGTGAGTGCAACAATGGGCTCAATCAAGTGTGTAGGAAATGGTAAGGATGGCATAGGATAGGATAGGATTTAGAGCTGTGGTTCATAGGGACTCTGTGAGTTGTATGTGTTTTTAAAATAACAACATGTGAGGGAAGTCTTTTGGTCTAGTGAATAAGGAGTTGTGTTGTCAACCTAAAGACTAGAGGTTCTAATCCATGAGATTCTCCAAGGTGGAAAGACGGGCCATCTCTTTTTGGTGTTAAAGACCACTGGTTTTTATAAGGATTCAGCTATGAGTCCTTTCAGAGTGACAGCAATGGGTTGAGTTTGTATAGCTGAAGAGTCAAAGAAAAGTAAACATCTTGTACAATATCAGGAAATGAGTAAATGGCAGGAATGACATTCTCACTTGGTTTTAAAGTTCCTTAGGGAACAGGAACTATTTGCAGTCTTCCTGACAATAAACAAAACACCATTTTGCGATAACATTCCAGCTTTTAGGTCACCCGTGCATGCGTTTATGAGCTACACTTGAGACTTGGAGCTCTGTGAAAGGGCTCTTCCTGACTCTTTTTTTTCCCCCGGCCCCTTTTCACACCCTCAGAGCCACCCTGAGAACAAGGGATGTGAATCTTGCACTATCCTGTGCCATCCTCACCGTCCCCGACAGATCTGTTGCTGTAGTCCACTCCATCGCACCTAGCAATAACAATCTCCCACTTCCCTGAGACCCTAAATTCAGAAGTGAGTAGATACATTAAGGGTTTATCTTTTTGGATCGTCATATGTGCTGCCATTCGGTCCTGCGGTGCACCCCAGAACGTCCAGATCCCTGGAACCACGCGTCCCACAGCTACCGCAGTGTTGGGCCTCAGAAGCCTGGCAGTATGACTAGCAGATTTCCCGATCCAGTTTTGCTCAAATAGGAGCTCAGACGTGGGCGCGGCGGCCGTCCAACTCATTCTCCAAATTCCAGCTACACCCACGCAGTGAACCTCCCCCCCCCACCACGTAGGGAATCTCCAAAGCTTATCCAGAGCTTTTAAGGTAATGAAGCAGCACACTTGAAGGGTGACGGGATTGACACGTCACTCAGCCAATCGCATTTCGGAGATTCCGGAAGGGCGTGTCCCGGTGTGTCATTGACGGGGCGCCGCGGGATTGGCGGGTCTGCCGCCGGCCGTCGGTGGCGGGAGTTTTCGGAAGTGTCAGTGGCGGGTCTGCAGGCAGCTGTTGTGCATACCCCGCTGGCGGCGTGTGTAGGGGGCCTCGGAGGATCCTCTGGGGGACGCGAGCTCACTGCCCGCCGTCTCTGAAGCTCCGATTTGTAGCCGCTTCCTTGTGGCCGCACGCAGCTGCGAGGCCGGATGGAGCGGCCCCGGCAGCGCCTGCCTCACTGGGCCCACAGCTCCGCCACCGGGGCCCCTTACCCCTCCGCCTCGCTCCGAGGCTCCCGGGACGCCAAGATGCAGCGCAGGAAGGAGCTGCAGCGCCTCCCGCCAGCCGGCGGCCCCGAGGAACCTGGGGAGAAACGCCCCAAGTTTGTAAGTGTCTCCTTGACCTCGGGTGGGTGACTCTCCAGATCGGCTGCTGATCCGGGCCATGTCTGGGGTCTTTGAAAAGTTCATTTTCGGCGATTTGGCAGACAACCTGTGCTGGACCTGTGCTTGTCATGGGTGCGGTGGAGGGGTGGGTGGTGGTGTCAAGTTTAAGCTAGGTTTCTAGACTTGCCACTCCTTTTAGAAGCTGATGACAACAGAGCCCTCTTCTATTTGGAACCTGTGACAGACACTTAGATCATCATGTTGCCGCGGCAAAAAAGATGATGTGAAAAAGCAATTCAGATGCATGTGCATTGACGTCATCTAAATAGACATTATTATTTTTTTTTTTTAAAGTCGACCACTCCATTCCCTAGTGTAAAAGGACAGGGGGCATATCAAAGTGAACTCTTAATTTTTTTTTTCCTGTTTAATATTTTAATTTTAGGAGAACTTTTTTACTATACAGATAACTTTCCAAACCGAAACAGCTTGTTTTTAAAACTTGGCGGCCTTGCGGTCATTACTAAAGAATGTTTAGTTTGGAAAGAAGTTTAAATATTTGAAACTCGCCGTTCTGGTTGCTTCTCTTATTTAACACTAAACACAACTGTTAACATCTATTTTGTAAATAATTTTGTTGGTGTTAACTTGTGAAAGTATCCATGGTTATATAATGATAGGTGTGTAAATAATCAGTGAGTGGGTAAGCCCAACAGAATTGAAAATTTAACACTGACATCTCTGTTTTACTTACATGAAAAACATTGGACATGGAAACATAGAAAACATTTTTTCAGTGATAGATGGAATTTTATACTATGCCACGGTTTTCTTTTGTAGACATGGTGAAGAGTTTAAGACATGATTCGTAAGTAAAGGCAATAAAAATACAAAAAGCAAGAGGAAGTAACTTTTGGTTACAAGTTAAAGGAGCTGACTGAAACTTAGAACTATATATATGGAAAATATAGAATGTATTAAAGTGTTAAAATTGAGAAATAGCAGATTAATTATGCTGGATTACAAATAAAGATGACAATAAGAAGGGCCACTTTTTTTTTTTTTTATGTGTGTACCGTCAAAACTGGATCTGACTGGTACAGGAGGCGATTGTTCCCCCTTCTTCAGCAGAGCATCTGGTGGATTTGAACCGCGCACCTCTGGGATTGCAGTGCAGTTTCCTGCCACTAGGTCACCAGAGCTCACCAAGAAGGGTCAACTTTTACATATATTCAGTTAGCAGGAGGATCAAATATGTAATTTGACAACATGACCAAGTTGAGTAGTTTGGTTGAGATAGATTAATTTAGCAATGAAAGAGTGCTTAGTATTGAGAAAAATCTACTGAGGCAATGACTTGTGCTCCTTTTAACAGTAAGAATTACATGTCATTTTGCCTCAGGCCCCTGTGGTCCAGAAACAACTAGGAGATGTGATTTGCAGTGAGTCATTCCCAGAAAATGTTGTTGTTAGGTGAGGTCAAGTCCCAGAAAATAGGCCCTAAATAAATATTTAGATTTAATTTCATTGGATTTCCATTAGGCCATTTGAGTTCTAGTCTTTATGCTGTTTTTCACTTCTTATGTATGTCACAGAAATCTCTGGTGGCAAAATTTGTGGGTAGTTAAGCTTCTAACCCTAAAGGTGCTATTCCTCCATGTGTTCAGATTCACCAGCAGCTCTGCAGGAGAAAGATAAGCAATTTACAGCCTCCAAAACTTGCTGGAGGGTCAGCTCTGAGTCAGTTTTGTCTTGATAGCAATGAGTTGAGTATGTGTGTCGTAATGACTCCGGATGCCATTTCTTAAAAAGGTTATATGTGAAGGTTTAGTGACATGATAGATGAAACAACTCTTTTAAAGCTTTCAAACACTTCCTAAACTACTGTGTTTATTTTGTGGTGGAACGTCTGATTCATGGTCTATTTATAATTAATTAGGACCCTAGGCAACCTCTGAAACTAGTTTAGTTTTGTTTATATAGTAATCTCTTCAGCTATATCTTTCAGTTAACTAATTTCCCATCATTTATGTCTAATTTGCCATTTAATTTCCTCATTGAATTTTTGAGTTTTAGCAATTAGTTTTTTTTTTTCCATTTCATAAAGTTCTATTTCTAAGTGCTGCCAAGTTGGTTCTGACTCATAGTGACCTTGTATTACAGTAACTTAAAATGCTGCATGGCCCTGCACCTTTCTCATGGTGGTGGGGGTGGTTGACTGCCTTCGAGTTGAACACGACTCAGACTCATAGCGACCCTATGAACAAAAAGGTCTGAAGCCCCTCTACAACTATCGACGTTTATCAAAGTTCATAGAATTTCCGGAGGCATAATATTTAGGACGTGGATGCCTCTCCCGATTCCAGTCACAGCAAAGAAGAATCAGAGAATGCAGTGTGTGTCCTTTGGGACCAGCGATTCTGGTCACCAGATTCTGCCACCAGCCAGACCTACAGGAGAGCAACAGCAACGGCATCAGAAAATCAAAGGCCTGATGTGAAACACTGATGACCTAGGAACTGCTACCCCTTGATACCAGAGGAAGGAGCCTTTAGCCAAGTTTGTTGGAGGACTGAAGGGAGAGCCACCATAATTGACTGGTGGCCTAGTGGTAAGAAGCTATGCTGCAATTCCAAAGGCGCATGGTTCAAAACCCACCAGATGCTGCATGTGAGAAGGATGGGCAGTCTCCTCCTGTGTGACTAACTTTCTCTTAAAACCGCTGGAGGGTTAGCTATGAGTTAGTTCCAACTTATTGGCACCCAACAACAGGCTTACAACAACAACAGCTTTATAAAACAGGCTTAAAGCCATGAGGCTGAAGGCTGAAGAATCTGTGAGCATGCTTCTGAATCTCTCCTAACTGAGAAATTATATCCTGTTGCCAACTGAAATTGTATTCTGTTAACTTTCCTAATAACTTAATAATTGTGAGCATGGTTCTGTGTGCTCTGTGAACTATTGCAACAGATTCTGGACCTGTGGAGCAGTTTGATTGGTGCTGGAATTAGAGGAAAGAGGAGTGGGAGTGTGGGGGACATGTCTGACCTCATGGAAACTGAGTTTGTGCTGTGGATGTTGTTGGAGATGGTTCTCCTTTGTGGAGTTAGTAGAGGTTGGATATGGCTGTTTCTCGAAGGCCCTTGCCCTCTTTACATCACTATTGTTGCTGTGGCTGAGCTTTTTTTCTGCTACTGTGTCTATTACTCTTGTTTAGGGTCTTCCTCTTTTTGCTGGCTCTATTATGAACTAGGGATTGGCTCCTCCTCATTACATGCCCAGAGTCTATGAGATGATGTCTCACCATCCTTAGTTTAAAGGTGCAGTCTCTTAAGATTGCATACGTTCTAGTAAACTCTTCAGTGAGGTTGTGCTGTTCACATATGGTCACTATGGATTGAAAATTGACTGAACAGCACTCAGCAATAATATATGGACTCACACCATGTTGGTTTACACTCACCTGTGGTTAATGATCTCAGTGATCTTGTCGGATTCTTGGCAATCTAAACTAGGAATGTTTCTCATAGTCTGTAAGGTGTTGCACTGCTAACCAATTTTAGTTTCTCTAAGGTTGATTTGAAGGGAGCACTGATGGCTAATTGATAGGGAGTTGTGCTGCCAGTCCAAATGCAAGTGGTTTAAATCTACTAATAGCTCTGTGGGAGAAAGATAGTCAACATCTTGGGTGAGTTATAGCCTCTTAAAACCTACTAGAGGGTCAGTTATGATTAGGTTCCAAATCAACACATAGAAACAACAGAAGTGATTTGAGTGTGTTTCTACCAAGAGTCTGGAGGTGCTGTTGATTTGTGGCCACTTCTCTGTTAAGCTAGAACTCTTTAAGAAAGGTTGCATTTTAAACTCACCTCTAGCTTTGTTCTGGTTGAAGACTCAGTGTCTTAATCTCAAAACTGCCTTGGGCCAACCCTTTCCAGTCTCACACTGCTGGCACCTTGACCTTCATAACTCTTATTTGAAGACTATCTTTTATTCGTGGGATCTAAGCAGGCCCTCCAAAAGTTATTGCTCTGCTGTTTGATCTGCTTTATTGCCAGAAGTCAAGTCAGTTCTTGGCTTTCTCTTGATTTGGTTTGAAGTGATGTTAGCCAGATTCTTGGTCATTTTCAGAGCCTAAGAAAAGACATCAAAAGACACGTTGCATTGAGGAAATTGGCTGTCAAGAACCTATCTGAAATTCTAAAGAGTAAGGATATCACCTTAAAGAATGAGGTGCACCTGATCGAAGCCATAGTATTTTCATTTGCTTCCTATGCATCTGAAAGTTGTATGGTGAGTAAAGAAGACTTAAGAAGAAATGATACCTTTGAATTTTGGTGTTGAAGAAGAGTATTGAGTATCCTGTGGACTGCCAAAAGAGCAAAGAAAGCTGTCTTGAAGGAGGTGCCATCAGAGTCCTTTAGGTATATTTTTGGGAAGAACCAGGACCTGAAGTTAGTCTGGTTCTCTGACAGTGAGTTTTTGAGTTCTCTGTCTAATTAGTACTTTTTATACCTCAAAGATGATTTGTTTAAGATAGAACCACTGATACAGCCTCTTTAACAAAACAAAGAGAATTCTTTTCACAAATAGGATTACATCCATGGGTATAAGGGTTTAAGATTTACAGCAGATATTTTTCAAGGACACAATTCAATCCATAACAGGATAATAGTTCTTCTTTTTAATTATGATTATCCTTTAAAAATCCCCAGACTTTAAAGCAGATCTTGCCTCTAGTTTTATGGGCTTGTTAATTATTGTATTATATGGCTTACTTATGTCATTGCAGTACCTGCAGTTTGGGGTGATATATTATTCACTCTGTTTGTTAATATCTGCTTGTTTACTATGTTTAGACATTGCTAGTCAATGAGTTAGCATGAATGTGCCAAGTTTACAGAAAGTAATTTAAAATAAAAACTCCTTTCATCCTTATAACCTTATGAGGTAAGTGTTATGAACCCTGTTTTATAAGGAAACTGAAGTCACATAGCTGC